CCCACGCGCACACCCTCCACCTCGGTCATAGGCTTAACCTTTCACCGCCCGTGCCTCAGTTTCCAACGACGGCACCACGCTGTGGGGTTGTCCTGACAGTGAGAGGCCCACCGGCTTCACAGCTTCGCCACTCCCTGGGGTGACCTTGGACAAGCACTTTTCCGGGCCTGCGCAGGGCTCCGTGGGGACGAAACCAGCGACTGCGCCTGAAGCACAGGAGGAAGCGTGGGGCGTCTCGCGTCAGCGGTGCTTTCCGCCCCAACCCCGAGCCCCTGCATGCGGCCTGTCACGGCTCAGGGACGGCCGTGCCCGGGAAAGGGACTCCAGGGCGCCAGGCGCCGCTCGGGTCCGAGCCCCACGGCCCTCTGCCGAGCCTCCTCGGCCAGTGTCCCTCCCGGTCCTACGGGATCGGGTGGGGGGCTCTCCCTCGGCCCTCTCTGCCCTGGAAGGCCGGGCCTCGCCCCTCACTCAGCTGCACCCAGTTCTCCCAGCCCGGTCCCTGCCCCGCCCTGTGCAGCGGCCCAGATGACCTGACCCGGCCGTTCCCCTGGGTCAAGCTGCCGGGGGCTTTTCCACGTCCGAAAGTCACAACGGAAAGCAATGCTTTCAACTTGAAAGACATCAAAGATCTGTTTACATCTTAAGCTTTTAGCGAATTCAGAATTATTTGTAATTTGATTTTAATGAATAAAGCATTTGTGCATAGCTGTCTTTGAAATAATCCAGCTGACCCTGTTATATGGAAAAAGAAAGTCTTTGTTCCAGAGAAAAAGTAGTCGCGCCTCTATTCCCAAGGAGAGTATTTTAGGGTGGATTACAGCACCCTCTTCCGGTACGTAGGACATGTGGTACCCTAAAATAAATCGATAGCCAGGGATTACAGCACTTTTATCATGTCCTTTCTCAACTGTCTCTTGGGGAAAAATGCTTTGGAATACTAAACTTTGGGTGATTGTTTTAAAATAATCTTGACCAACAACTCATGTAGCAGAGTTGGTAAAACGCAAACTGGAAGCTGGTTTGATGGCGTGTGATTTTGAGAGGTGTGGGGAGGACGCCACCTAGTGTCGATTTGGGGAATTCTTACACTTGAGTGTCAAAGACTGCATTCCCCAAAGTAAATTAATTCACCCAAAGGCAAGTCAGACCTTGACATTCACATCAAATATTGACACAAAACTTCTGTCCCGGTACCCGTGGTCTGTCTGGGACTCAGCATGCTAACTAAAACCTGTGGCTGTCGCTTGCCTGGTAAGTCGCTACCTTTCCAGCCAAAGCAATTGACTGGTTCTCACCTGGTTCTCACCGCTTCGGGTACTTGTCAGGCCCCTGAGCCAACGAAGAACCAGCACCTAGGTTGCACTGCGTTGCTGATTTAGGCCAAGTTTAAATCAAAACCCTGATGCCAAGTCCACATGTCCTGACTGACAGCCCTGTGGTGTTTCTTCTGTAGTTCTCCACAAGGTTAGGATATCAAAGAAAGGAAAGATTTAAAAGCAAAAGCAAATCCTTTCCACTACTGGAAATCCAATGTAGATGAAACTTTACTAAAATCACGAATGTTTGAATGTCTGATGTCTGAAGTGCTGTGAGGGGTTTTCACCGAGCTGCCAGAGCAAGCCCAAGGCGCTGCGGTGGAGCGACGTCCAACTCTCGTGTCCTTCCCTCAGAGAAGGGCTCCCTCGGGCCTCTGCAGCCCTCCAGCCCAGCCCTTCGGAAGCTTCTGCTTTTCCTGCCAGTCCTGCCGAGCAGTAAACAGACTGCAAAAGTGCCCGGAATCAGTTCTTGCAGGTGACGCTTGTGTCCCCTCTGCTGTCGTTTGGATCCGGAGTGTCCTCAGAAGGCCCAGGTATCCAAGGCTGAGTTCCCACCCCAGGGCACCACCGTGCAATGATGCAACCTCAGGAGATGGGGCAGAGAAGCAAGGAGTCCATCCCTCGGGCCATCTCCCTGAAGGGGACACTGAGACCCCAGCCCCTTCCTGTCTGCCCTGAGGTGAGCACCTTTGGCCCATCACGCACTGCCCAGCTGCCCACCACGATGCCTCTCCTTGCCACAGCCCCAGAGCCTTGGTGGCCAGGAAGTGACCGTGGATTGAGGCCCTGAGGCTGTGGGCCAAGATCACTCTTTCCTCCTCTTGAGCCATCACCTCCAGCTTTGTGTCAGTCGGGGAAGGTCAAGTCACACAGCTTCTGAATGCCAGTGTGCGGCTCTTCCAACCACGGGCCACCCCAGGGCTAGGCCAGGGAGCGGCATCGAGTTGGCTGTGCTGCTCCTCTTCCTTTCCGCCCAGACTTTCTCTCTTTCCTCTTCCAGGTTCTCTCTCCCGCCCACAAGAGCCATGGGTTATTCGCCAGCGTGAAAGCAAGCCAAGCAAGGAAATGAGATTGCATGTACGATGACGCTGGTGCCCCTCGGTGGCTCATGTGCTGTTCCTCCATATACATGGGGCTGAATCTTGAAAATCCCTTGTCAGGTTTTCCAGGATTCCTGAAAGAAATCCAGGCAAATGTGATGAGACTCATGGACGGGGTGTGTGAACACAGGGCCCCGGAGCCCCGTTCGGGGTCCTTGGGTGAATCTCAAGAGCCCCCTGCATCTGTTGTCTTGCTCTATAAAATGAGAAGCAGGAGCAACATTTTTGTACGATTATCTTTATAAAGTCTTGAAAGGATCTGCCATGTGCTTAGGAATCACAAATCATTCAAAGTACAAGTATGATAATTTGTATTGATAAATGCTTGATAAGGAATCCATTCTATGATTTTCATAGGTACTAACAATACCTACTTCAACCCTGGTAGGCAATGTTTCTGTCTTTAAATAACAGCGGCTTTTTGATGTGGACAGTTGTCATCAATAATAGAAATAAGGGACTGACCGGTTCACCAGACCCGGACTTCCCTAAGGAATTGCTCCTCATGGACAGAGAGTAATGGAAAAGGGAGCAAATCTGGTAAGACAAATAATACGGGAAAAATCATGGACCCAGGATATTCTCCCTTTGTTCTCTAGTGAATAATAATACTGATTGTTTGGGCTTTGTGTCACACATTATCCTTTGCAGTTACCCGTGTTCCATGTGTAATGCTCACTATTTCCGTTACACATTGAGGAAACTGAGGCACAGAGGACCGGAGTCATGAGGGCCAATGGCAGAGCTGCACTTTGCACTGCGAGGCTGAGCACACCGCACACCACGAGGGCTGTGGGAAGCCTGCCTGCTGTCCATCCTCGCCTGCCCTTCCCTTTCCAGGCTCCTCCCCCATGGCCTTCTCTTCTCCTTTCTCTCCCCCTCCCAGGACTCCCAGCCTGCCACCACACCACTCACTTCCAGCCCTTTCCCATGCAGATCACAAAAACACCCCTGGGCACGTGACACAGAGTGAATTCTTTTTGTTCTTTTTCTTCCTTTGCACAGAGCTGAATTCCCATACAGCTGCTTTATAGCATTTGCCCCTTTCAGCCCAGCTACCTGGCAAAATCAATGAAGACTTCACAGCTACTGACAAAAGCAGTACAAAGCGTGTACAAAGGGGATGGGGAAACTGGGCATGACAACTTTCTCTCAGGAGCCCTGGCTAGGCAGCTTTTTGACAGGATCTAGGTTCCCCCCAAATAGCCCGGCTTTTTAACAATAAAAGTTGATAGGTGAACTTAGTTTTGTCTCAAAGCTGCTACTGATCTCTCACTCTCCGTCATCTGGGCCCCTTGGGAAGGATCCTTCTCTTGGCAAATGCTCCTGTAAATATGAAGAACTTACAGACAGATGTGGAGGGACACTGTGTACACTGTGCTGAACTCGTGATTTAGCATGCAGAGCACTCAGAGTGCATACAGCACCACTAGTAATACTGAGGGAGGACACTGCGTTAGCTTTCATCCTCTATGTGAGAGAAAAACTGTATACTATGCAAGAGTGATGTTACTTTTTCCTTTTTTGTGGGAAAAGTTATTTAAAAACTGACTTGAAATTCTTTTCTTGCTTTAAACAGTAGTGAGAATACTCGTTATTGAAAGGTAACGATTCTCATCACCAGTCAGCACTACCTACTGTATTGAATTGGCACTGATGGGGTAATTACCATGGACTGTCCATTCCCAACACGGTATCGTCTCTCAGCACTGGGACCTGGGGGTGGTTGTGAGATACCAGAGGGAGGCAGAAGGGAGCCACACAAACGCCCCCTTTACCAGAGAATAACAGCAAAACCCTTGGGATGGACCATGACAGTCGTGATCCTGATAGTTGATATTCATCGAGTAATTCTCCATTCCCAGGCACGACTCAAGTGAGACACCGCCCCATTCACTATTCCCACCCGCCCTCAGTGTGTTCCATTATTAACACCACTCCACAGAGGATAACCTGAGGCTGCAGAGACTCGATGTGTAAACTGTCCGAGATCGACCACTAGTGACTAGGGTTCAGCCAAGACGATGACTCCCGCGCCTACATGCTTGAAGCTTACTCAGGGTTTCCAGCACCCGGCCCCCTGAGGCACAGGCGGGCTCCTCACCTGCGGGGTGCAGGGTGCTCAGCCCCCCCCCCCGGCCCCTCAGACGTCAGCAGCACCCCCTCCCCGGCTGTGGCCCCCAAACTCTGCCAAATATCCCCAGGGGCAAAGCCTCCCCTGCCAGGGCCGGCCAAAGGCAGGGCTCTCCTTCCGCCCCATACTGACTGCTCAGCTTACGTCCGGAGCAGCTGCAGAAGCAGAATTCCAGTGCCCGCAAAGCATTTTGTTGGATGTTAAGGTAATGCTAGGCCAAAATACTTTTATTTCACACAGGAAAATTTATATTTGAGAACTTAAAACAATCAAGTTATTTGAAATCTGTTCCTCTGGGATGTATAAGATATAAGGGGAGTCTTTGTCAATAAAATAATGAGCCGGAGGTGATTTAGATTGCAGACTATTAATGCCATCCTTTTAAAACGGTCACCGTTTTTCACCTGGCATACTTCAGAAGATAAAATGAAGATCTGTAACAGTAAACAATTTCTCTAGTGAAAGAGTTTATTTGGTCAGTGTATACAGATGTGGCCTAAGCCAACAATCAAATTTTTTAAAACCACATGCACATATGTGTGAAAGTGAAAATACATTAATTATTCAAATTTTTTAAAATTCAGAATTCTAGTATTTTTCTAAAATTTCTAATAAACCCAAATTCTCTAAAGCCTTGGTTTATTTTTGTTCCTTTCAAAATATATACTTAAACATATATTAAAAGTGTGTATTTTTCTCCTTGGGCCTACATTATTGACCAAATTTTAAAGTGTTTACTGCTATGTTAGCTACTCTAGGAAAGATATAAAAATTAAGGTATGTATTCCTGAGGATATCACTTTAGATATACCTCGTACATATACAAAACATGAGAAAAAGCAATGTGAAGCAATTAAAAATTGTTTTGTATATTTCACATTACAATAAGACACATGCGCACACACAGTGAAGGGAGGTCGTGAAATCCGTTTGAAAGGCATGTTCCACAGAAATAGTTTGTCACAAAGGTTACATTCCAAGGGTCCACATCAAAAATCACAGTATACACAGATTAGAAGCAAAATATATCAGACAAAAATATCCCAGAGATGTTTATGTTGTTAAACTTTTACAATATTTTAAAATCTTTTTTGTGGTTTGGAAAAACTCTGGCGCAATACTGATTAAAAATAAAGACACTGTACCCATGTAATTCTGACTATTCTATTATTATTCCTCCTTTTCATCAAAAATATATTTCCTACAAATTCTACAAAGTTTAAATGAATGTATACTTGACAAGAAACACAAAAATCACCCTAAAAGTGGAATTAAACACACAGCTGGCTAAATAAATCCAAAAGAGAACAGCAGATTTTGCGGGGCTTACAGACAATACTATGTATTAGTGATCCTGCATTCTTAACATTTTTCTTGGATGCAGTGGGGCGTACTTTGCCTTTTAATGGCCTACTTTCGACATCATACTTGCGGTCCAAGTGAACAGTCACGGCGAGTCACGGGAGTCACGCACGTTTCCATGGTTACCGCCACGCCACACATCATGGGAAACACAGCCCCTCCGCCTCTCCACGCGCCTGAGTGCGCCTCTGACAAACGAGGCGGCTTCATTTCTCTTCCTCTCTGGGATTTCCCAACCGGTCTCGTGCTGCTGCTTCGCTCTTCTGTTGCACATCTGGTACAAAACAAGATTCCATCACATGGGAAATGTTTCTGTTCTGCCCTCTTCATTGTTCACTGTCCAGGACACACCTCGCCATCAGAGACGCGAGCAGGCTGGGCTCTCTCCGCCGCCCCTCGCTCCCTCCTCTCCTGCGGTTACAGCAGCCGCCCTCTAACTCTGGACCCGGCCTCCACTTACAGACGCAGGCTCAGGGGCGCCGACCCTCGGGACAGAGCCACAGCTGGCGCTCCACGCCCATCGGACCGGACCGGCTAGAGGCTTCACCCTCCCTCCACCTTCGCCTTTCAGACTTGACCTCACCTCCTACTCCACAGGAAAAACAAAGCCAAAGCCCTCAGACAAGGCCTCCGACTCTGCCTCTCAGTGCGACCTGGGCCTGTGCTCTGTCCCCTTCCGGGCTACTGGAAGGCGCGCTGCTCAGCACCCGGTGAAAATAAAACACAGCGGCCCTGTTCTTAAGCTAGGGGAAGGGCCAAGCCCGACACCAGCACGGTCTGTCCGTCCAGGGCCCGGGCTCTGTGCATGGCCCGGCCGGACGCCGCTGAGCCCTGGCGCTGCTCGCCCGCCAAAGTCATGGAAGGCATCTTGATGGTAACTCTGGTGGACTCTACGAAGTCTTCCCCTCTCCTTGTCCAAATATTCACCAAGCACGTGCTGTGAATGAAGTGTGACGAACAGAACGTCCTTGTTCTCAGGGACTGTCAGGTAAGGGATATGGGAAATGCAGGTAAAGTGAGTTTTTAGCAGGTAAGAGGTTAAAAGTGCTAATGTGGACACTGAAACGGACAGAAAATAAGAACGGTGCAGAAGTCATGATGGGCCCACTTGGGAAGCAGAGCTGAGAGCCTGCTGGAGAATGAGACACGGAGACTGGACATGGACCACAGGCACCTTACGGGACGCCTGGCACCCACCCGGCCGGAGGGGGGGCGGCAGCTCTTGGGCCCCAGCACTTTCTTGTGGGGAAGCGGGCCCGGGCTGGTACCGAGCACTGGTTACAGAGCTCGAGCTCCTGTGGGCCGGCTTCACTGCAGGAGCAGAGCCCCGCAGGGCTGGCTGAGGGCTGCCCCATGAATGACACCGTGCGGGGTAGACAGGTGCCAAGTGTGTTTGGGGAGCCTGAGTGTGTAATGTGGCCCTGAAGGATCTGCGAGTCGCACCTCCAAATCCTACCACAGCACCCCATTTTAATTCTATGACATTGCTTAGGGCTGTTAATCATATATTTATCTGAATGCCTAGCATTCAGCAGGCACAACTTAACAGTGGATCAAACTGTAATGGTGGAAGGAGGATCCCTGTGTGGCTTTTCTAGCTCCCTGGCATGCCCCTCTGTCACCTCCTGCAGGGGACGTCTCTGTCCCCGTTAGGTATCAACTGGAAGGCACAGATGAGATAGCGTGAAACCTCACATTAACTTCATGCAGTGTGAGAGGCATTCGAGATCCCAGATTCCCTCTACACCTCAGCATACTGATTTAAAAACTAACAAACTAATAAAAACAAAACAGGACAGCCCTGAAGGAAGCCTGCAGACGTTCCTCAGAATTTGTACTTTTAAAGGACTAGTATCAGAGACGGTTTTCATTAACTTGGAAACTATTCATCTTAAAATCCTTAATATTTTTGCTTAGCTGATGAGAAAGAAGATGGGCATAGAAACTTCTTTACAGCTCTGCTAAGCAAGTGTTATCTCTACCATACACCTAGGTAAGCCCGTGCCTTTCATTTGTTTTCAGATCTGTGGTGACATCTGGATTTGCTTTTAAGACTGTGAGTTTCTTAGTTGATATCTTTGACTTTATTTCAAAATAACTTAAAGAAAAATATAGACAGAATCATATTCTTGCAGATGATGGGCTCTCTAGTGACCAAAATAAAATGGAGAGCACTACTGACTCTTGCAGTGTAGTTTGCTCCCTCTGTTCACCTAAGCAAGGTCAGTGAACATGAGGATGTGTGTGTGTAAGTTACACAAACTCTAGTTAGGCTTCTCGTGTGGACAAGGAATTACCTTCTCCACCTAGCTTAGGGTGCGCCTCATGAGCAGCCACCTCTTCTGAGTCACATCACTTTCAGATTTAAAAGGACAAAGAAGGTGCACGTATTTTCACGGCTTGTCTTCCCTTCCTCTCTCCTGCCCTTTCTTTTTCTTACAGTCCTTAATCGTACGTGTGCACTGCTTTACTGGCATACAGAGAAGAGCATCCCGCTGAGGTCAGCCGCCTCCTGGAAAAGTGAGACCGCCGAGCGGGAGGCCGTCTGCATCCTCAGCGGGTGGGAAGCGACGTCCTGAGGCCCAGCCCCAAGTCTGCTCCTCGGCCTCCCGTGAGGAGCAGCTTCTAGCCCCTCTGTCCCTCACGGTCCCTGGGGACAGCACTCCACACACACACACACACACACACACACACACACACGTACACACACCTACACATACACTTACACACACAGGCGCACACACACAGGTGCACACCAGTACACCCTGGACTAAAATGGCACAGGGCACCGGGCTCCTGTGAAGCCTCAGAGCCGAAATCCCCCGGAACCCCCGCGTCCCAACGCCTTAGCAGAGCGCCCGTCCGTTTATCTTCACACTGCTCTGAGCCGTGAGCCGTGAGCCGTGAGCCGTGAGCGCGGAGCAGGACCGCGATTTTCTCCTGCGGCTCAGCGGACCGCTTTTTCTGACCGTGCTCTTTCCCCTGGCTAAATGATCACCTTTCATCCGGAGCCGCACTTAACAGGGTCACCCTGCGCGAGGGCGCGCGGCCCTGGCAGGGAGGCTTCTGGGTTCCGGCGCGGAGGGGGGCCCGTCCCGGGACAGGAGGGCGTCGGAGCTGGGGCGACGCGGGCCTCCCCTCCCCCTCCGTCCCCCTCCCCTCTCTCCCCTCCCCCCTCACCTTCCTTCACCGAGAGGCTCCGCGGCGGCGGCAGCTCCTCGCAGGCGCTGGCGTCCGCGCCCAGGATGTCGGGCAGGGCGTTGCGCCGGCCGCTGCGCGAGGAGGCGGCGAAGCTGGAGAGCGCGGGCTCCGGGTCGGGCCGGGTGGGGGAGCGCGTCCTCATGGCCGGGTCTGCGGGGCAGGGCGTGCGCGTGAGCGGGCGGGGCGGGGTGCGTCCTCGGGGGAGGGGGCCTCACCTCCCACCCGGCTCAGCACCCACTCCGGCCGACCCAGGAGCCGCCCGCCCTTTTTTCTCTGGAAAATCCTGCCCACTCTGCACCCTCCACGGTTACAGGGACTCGCCTGCTCTGAGCTTCCTAACGCTTGCAGCTCTCTAGAAGGAACGCTGTTGCTCCCGCTATGGTGGGGACTGAAATTGGACAGCGCCAGGCCAGAGGGTGCACGCCTGTAACCCCAGACACAAGAGGCCGAGGAAGGAGGATCTCGGACACTGGGAGGCCCGACTGGACTACAGGCCAGCTTGGGAAACACGGTGAGACCCTGGGCCCTAATCCAGCCCTCAGGCATTCTGAAAGGATGGGACAGCGGGGTCGGTGCGACCCGGCCCGGGGACGCACGCCAGGAAGGACCCGCGCGCAGAGGGCGACCCAACGGGCAGGCCCCACGGGGAGGCGCCCCAGGGCTCAGACGGCAGAGCAGCAGCTTCAGGGGCAGCTGCCCGCGGAAGACGCTGCTCATCGTCCTTCCCACCGCTGCGGACACAAACCTTCCTGGGTTTCCCGCACCTCATCCCAGCACCGGGAGGCAGGGGTGGAAGATGGAGAGTTCAAGGCCAGCCTGGTCTCCAGAGTGAAATCCTGCCTCCAAAAAGAAGGGAGGGAAGCAGAAAAGAGGGGGAGAGAAAGCATGAAGAAGACCCAGAAACGCATTTGCACTAGGAAGTGCAAGAAATCTGGAAAGCACTAGAACCCTGGCTCAAACCCAGGCTGGGCAGGCGCGTGCGCTCCCGATGGGCGGCTTCAGGCCTGACAGGGTGGACAGCAGGGGGAGAAAGAGGAAGTGGACTCTGACGGCGGTCGCAGGAGAAAGGCCCTGTGCCTCTGCCCAGTAAAGGTCTGGGCACGGAGCTTAAGCAGTCCGGGAGTGGGTGTCTAGCGGGTGACAACGTGGTGTCGCGGGCAGAGCCTTGACCAAGGCAGACACTGGACAGCAGCCGGGCCCTCCCGCATCGAGAGCCCTGCCCAGCCACAGCGCTGACTCCCAGGGGCGCTGCCGGCTGTCCCTCCTGCAGGCACGCACGCACACGTGACCAGGCTGGGCTCAGCTGGAGCAGATCCCCCTTCACCATTTGTATCTCAACAGGGGGAACTGCGGCCCTTCATCCTCTAGCCCGATTGTCCTTGCCTAGGAGTAGCAGTGAGAGGCACACGTGTATGGCAAAGATGGCACTGTAGTTGTTCTTCCAATACAGTACAAAGGTAACTTAATGGTCTAAACACGGACACTCTAAATGGCATGCTTTAATTTCAGAATGCCTTTATAACTGATAGATACAGCGTCTGTCTTTGAAAGAAGAAATGCCTACATCCATCAACAGAACAGTAGATAAGAAAATGTGGTCTTTACACACGGCAGAGCACTACTCTGCCATAAGCGTGACAAACGAGTCTTTTGTAGGGAAATGGATGCACCTTGAGACCATAGTGTGAAGTGAAATAAGTCAGAAGCACAGGCTTAAATCCTGCCTGGTTTCTCCAACATGAGAAACCCAAAGGACAAATAAAGAGCAAAGTAGGAGAGAGATAATAGGAAGCAGGGAGGCAGAACTTCCTCAAATGGGAAGAGGACCCAGAGAGGAGGGAAGGGAGAAGGGAAAGCAAACAGCACTAAGATGTGTTACGTGCATCCACCAACTCCCTACAATGAGTGTAATCACGATGCACTGCAACTTGTACTAATAAAAACAAAACTTGGAAAAAAGAACAGAACCATTTTGAATATCACACCAGCATTTATACATGTAAATGTCCACATCCTTCAAAGCAATTACTTGAACAAGCCACATATCGCTTCGTATCACTTACACCACTTTTGTGAGCCTACAGTACCAATCATTTTATACTCACGCATCATAATGATAGCATATTATATTTTAAATATGCTATTACAGCAAACTTTTTAATTAAAGACCATGCCTCATTTGATCATCTTTTTTGGGAGGACGGGGTCTCTGTACTTCAGGCTGCCTCCATCTTAGAATATAGCCTGGGCTGACCTTCAGCATGCAGCCCTCCTGCCTCAGCTTCCCCAGTGGTAGGGTTCCAGCCTGTACCACCCAGCCAGCCGCAATTGCCCATCTCTTTGTGCTAACGGTGACTCCAAGCTCTTCAAAGCCTCCTGAAGTCTCTCATCTTTGCACATATTCAGAGAAGCCTGTTTCCAGTGAGGACGAAAGCACAGCTCTGACTGCTGGCAGCCTGTGGCACCACTTGAGCATGCATCACGGGGTCCAGGGACTGCCGGGCACCCTTCCGTTCGTCCCCTGGTTTGAGAACCACTCCATGTGGAGACTGCGCACGTTCATTGCCTGAAAGTTCCGGAATCGAACCCTTCATTGCCTTCTCAAAGACCTGACTTCCAGCAAGACAGTACACTTCTCTGCTAGTTAAGTTTCTACATCTGTGACAGGTGTGAATAATATTAACTATTTCATGACCTTGGCCCCAAAGAAATAATGGCTATCAGTGCGCTCGGCTGGTAACCACACAAATGAGACTCGCCCAGCTGTCTCACCCCGACTGACTGGCAGGCCTGAGGCCCGTTACCCGCAGTGCTGATGTGGCCCCAGCTCCCTGGTGGGCACCCAGGCTCGCGAGCCATAGCCGGCCATGCCGTGTCATTAAAAGCTGTAAAAGGCTCGCTGTCTTGGTTTAGAGGCAGCCTCTGACCTTGTGTCATAAAGACAGGAAGGGACAATTCATGGTGTCTGTCTCCCTGGTACTCCACGCCCCCCACACACACACGCACACGCACACACGCACAGACACACGTCTCCTCCTCATCACCAGCAGCGCTGTCTCAAACTTGCTCCACCTGAATCAGGCTACTTGTCAAGCACCTCACGCCCCTCACTCCGCCCATAGGAAATTTCTCCCTGAACACAGAATTTTCATCAGCGAGCCCCGTGTGTCCAGCAAGCAGCAGCCCGAACATTCCCAGGGTCCTGCACAGTAGCTAAAATGGGTCTGAATTCTCCGCCCTTCCCGACGCTCGAGAAAGCCTCCCAGTGTGAGTAACATCCAGGGCCTGATTCCGGCCAGGGGCTCACACATCACAGTGCCCTGCACCCAGAGGAGCCCCCAGCAGCCCAATCCTCGCAGGAGAGACAGTGGCTTCCCCGCTCTGCCTTAGGCAGGGGATCGAGGGCGCCCCCTGTCCCGGCCAGGTACAGGGCAGCGATGCAGATGCAGCAACCGGAGGCCGAGCCAGCGTCACCTCCCCCCACTGGACTGGACCCAGGAGACAGGGACGCAGGGGCCCGCAGCTCCTCAGAGCCGCTTTCCTGGGCACCTGACCCCTTCCCCTTCCTGCACGGTGCCCGCCAGTGCTGGTCCCGCTCCTCCTCTACCTGACCGAGTGCACCCGGTGCGCCCCCCCCCCGTCCCCCTCTGCACGGCACACGGCACCACGAAGAGGCTTCCACAGCCGCTCCACCCCCGCTCTCGCGGCACCGAAACCAGGCTGCTGCTTGCTTAGAGCAAGTCCTCTGTGCAAATTTAGTAAACACATAAATCTCTTTCCAGTTTTCGTTTTCAAAATGAATCCCGTCCTCTCTGGGTAGGAAATGTACATGTGCTCACTGCTGGAGAGAGGGCGATTCTGAAAGTCACAAAGAAGCAAAAACAAATCACCTCCTACTCCGCTAGGCAGTGACAGGGCTCTTGTCACTCTGGTGTGTATCCTTGCAGGGTTTTCTCGGTGGTGGCTCACGCAAGCATACCACAGACTTATCTGACACGCCTCTTGTCTTACATTTACTTGATATCATTTTATTACACCTGAAATGTAACCTTGTTAGGATGACATAATTTTTAAATTTTAATGGAAGTTCTGAGAAAATAAAATTTTCTTGGATGTTAACATTTCAGGGCATATACCCACTACGTCAAAGAGGCAGAGCCAAAAGGTACAGCAAAAGTAAAGGCTATGGCTGAGGACAGAAAGCATTCATAATCCTTTCCTTAATTAAACCGAATAAATAAAGTTGATATATAAGGAACTCACTTTTTAAATGTATACAATTTTTAAAGTTCTAGTAATGCCCCTATTTTGTCAATTTAAAGAAAGATTCTTCAGTATGTTTCCAAGTCCCTCTCTGAATATCATTTTCAACTTTTCTCTTTCCAACTGAGAAAAGCAGAAAAATGATTGAACTTTTCCAAGATCTGATTTCTTTTCTAAACTCTCTTTAGTATTTTTTTTTTACAGGAGAGGAAATCAATTTAGTGTTTCATCAAGCAAGAAATTTAATCAAAATCACAGTAGCAAAACTTTAAGAGTTGTTTTGGGGGTTTTCTACGTCACAGAGGAGAAAAAATTCCCAAAAAAACAGCAAATAATTTCAGAAAGAAAAAATATACCATCAAAATGTTATTGCTTATCAAATTATGCATGGCTGGGGCTGGGGATTTAGCTCAGTGGTTCCACTGCCTGCTTTGCAAGCACAAGGTCCCAAGTTCAATCCCCTGTACCAAAAAAAACAAACAAAAATTATGCATGTCTGTATTAATCTACAATTACATTAATAGACGTAAAGTTATTTAAATGGATCCAATTAACTTGTACAAAAACCTTTTGTAAGAATTAAATCTGTCACTGCATTTATTATATAAGTGAAATAGAAAAAAATGAGTTCCTAAAAATGATATCTAACATATATGTAAAATGAAAATGTTCAAAATTTGTGTACATAAATTTTAACTTTTAAAATACGCACATAGTAAAATATTATCAGGGAAATATACTAAAATGAACTGTGACAGTAGTTCTTTCTGGGTAGTCTTATTTTTTCTATCTTCCTCTTTGAATTTTATTGCTTTCCCAGTTTTCTATGACGTGGATTTTTATAAAATAAAATTTTGGGAGGGGGGGAACAGGGTCTCACTGTGTAGTCCAGGCTCACCTTGAACTCACTATGTCACCCAGGCTGTCTTTGACCTTGCTGCAGTTTCCTGCCTCAGCCTCCTGAGCGGCAGGGTTACAGGTGTGCACCCCCACGCCTGGCTAAGTGCACAGTTCCTGAGCACTTTAATAAGGGCTGCTTGGCAGGACCCTGTGCTGCGGAGTCAGCACTGCTATCTGTTAACCGCCACTTAGGGCCAGCTGAGTCCATCTGCTCACACTAACTAAATCACAGAAGCCGTTTACTTTGGGGGAAAGAATAAAGGTTCCATTCAAAGCTAGTTGTGAGAAGGTGGAGACCACCAGTCCTGTAGTCATTGAGGGGCACTTCATGGAGGTGGGAAAGCACATGTTGGGCTTAAAATGCAGGGGCGATCCCTGTAGGTGTAAAGGAAATGAAAGGGCTCACTGAGTTAGGGGAGGCAAAAGGCCAATCCTCGGTAAAGAAAAAGGAAACATTTGCCAGATACGGAACATTATGAAGACAGAACGTAGTTATCACTGGAACTCAAATTGCAAACCAAATGGGCGTCATTAAAATATATGCACGTATTTCTTCCTCTGAGCACTTGAATCATAAAAACTCCCCAGTCACTTGGGGATGGTGAGGTGCATGTCTGAAATTAGAGACCAGTTTCAAGGAGAGCTTGGAAAGGCCACCAGGGAAGTTCTGCAAGCAACTCTCCTCTAGGAGTGAGGCGCTGCTTCCCAAATTCCTGTGTGCATACAAAAGACCAAGAATAGTTTCTTATTAAAATAGGAGGACAGAAGTGAAGGACTTACACACCCAGACCTGACGAGGTGACAAAAGGGTGCTTATTAAAATTGTGTGTTCACACAAGAGGACAGAGACTCCAGAAAAAGCAAATGCACATATCATCCCTTGATTGCACAAAAATGCTTTTAACTACTGACCCATTGCTGGTGATCTTGGAGAAGTCACGAAGAGAAAACAACAGAAAACTCGATATTGATGGAAAAATCGTTGCTCATGGAAACAACAGATGGTGTTTATAATATAGTTCATGACAAAATTCTAGGAGAATTAAACACACTCAGATTATAGCAAGCATCTGTCTGTGCTTCCTAGAGAAACGGATATAACACAAGATATACAAAAACACAGGTATTTACAAGACTGGCTTACAGTGGCCGCCCACAGGGTTGGGTGTAGAAGAGCATGAAAGGGCTGCCTGGGCCCTGGAGATCTGGAGGATCCAGTCAAGGCCTGGAGCTCCCTGTGGTGTCCCGTGTGAGTCCGTATCAGAAGGCCAGAGGGTCTGAGCTGGAAGCCAGGAGAGCACGTCCAAGGTGAAGGACAAGACGGGAGCTCCCCCTCCGAGGAAACAGCACTGAGCCTTCCTGCTTCTTTGCCCTTTTAGTCCCTGCAGGCAGCCAGCCCATTGGTTGCTGTCACTCACGCCAGGGAGATCTTCTGTCTTCAGTGAATCCCTTCACCTGATCCATTACTTGGGCATTTCTTACTCAAGTTGATACAATTGGTTAACTTTCACATAGTGTTTTCCAGTGTTTTGCATTTTCGTTCAGGCAAGTTTAATGAACAGTGTACACCTCCACCTGATTAAAAGTTTGCCATTTGTATCTCTGAAGAAGTCCCAAAAGAGCTGATGGTTTGGTTCCAGTCAGAGTCCAGGTCTAAGAATCAGGAATACTCAATCTTGCAAGTTCCAGTCCAAGTCTAAACCCTAAAGAAGGAAACTGTTGGCATCGCTCAAAGACAGGCAGGCAGGCAGCAAATTCTCCCTG